TACATGCATTTCTGTCCTCTTTTCTTAATCATTCAGTTAAAAAATCAAGTACAAGAAAATAAACAAATTGGCTTATGATTGTACCAAGTATATTAAATTGCAAAGAAAAAAGTCAATGATAAAAAAGAATAAGCAAAGACAAAAATAAAATAAACTTCTTTTAATTTTTTCACTATATTTAATTTGGATTGAGCTCTATATAAGCTAAATTATCTGTTAGAATCTATTTTTTAAATTAGCGTCTATCAGTTAATATTATACCATTTTATTGTATCTTTTCCTTGTCAGCCAATCTATGTATAGGTTACCCCCTATTCATACATTCAGAGGAGGTCTTTTATGAAAACTTGATGGCAATCATCATAGGCATCCCTGTGAACATTACCAGAAAAATGATAGTGCATAGAAAATTATTATAACCACACAGTAAAAAAGAAGTATGTAATCATAAAAATAGTAACAATAGCCAAATACAAACAATATTCTGGGTCATGTCAGCAGCAAGTTGCATAGATTGTAAAAATAACCTTAGCCTGCCTTCCAACTTTGTTCCGTTGTTTTGAATAAATATAAATACTTGTTAACAAAGCATTTATTCAATTTAATTTTGATATAATTGAATTACATGTCAAATTGACAATAGTAATTGACAAAAATTGGTAAGATAAACTGTTTTCTGTAATCGAAAGTGAAACTTAAAAATGCAATTGAAATTAAATGATAAAATGAAAATAAATCATATACTCGTAAATGTAAATGAACTTTGAAAAGTAAATGTAAAAATCTAAAGAAAAGCAATCAAATTTCAGGCAATTACAATGATAAAACCGTAAATTTTTGTAAGGAAATTAAAAGCAATCCAAATTAAAAGAAAGTTTAAGAAGAATAAAGAGAAGAATGCAAATTAAAATGAAATACTTGAAATTTGGAATGTAAATATGCGTAAATCTAAATTAGACAAAAAAATGTAAATGTTTTGAAAATATAATTGGTATGACAGGGTGGTAGAGAAATATCCCAGTGTACAACATATACAAATTCACCTTGCTTAATATTTCGATGCAAGATGTTTCTTTTATCTTTTAATACATCAGGAATTAAACCTATAACATCTCTAGCCAAACCTAAGGGCATGCATTGCTTTTTTTTATCCCTCATAAAGTGAATTACGAAATGCAGGTTGATGTCATCGTATGATATTCAGAATAGCTAGCTCAAAAGCTAAACGTATAAAATCCTAAAACAAAAATTCACTTAAATCAATCCTAAATTAAAATAATAGTGTTGAGCAAGATCAGTAAAAGTTGAAGGACAAATAGAAGCAAAACAAAAATCAACAATACCTGCCGCTTATATATATGTGTTAAGTATCATTAGCATCTTGTGTCTTCTTGGCTTTCTTTGTTTTGTCACATTAATTCCCATGAGAGTGTAGCTTATTCTAATTGTGCATTTTCAGTTTTGATTTCTTGGCCTCTACTCTCTCTTGTTGATTGTTAAGCCTTGGTGGGATATAACTCTTTTTCAAGCCATTACACTTGGAACGAAGAGTTAATTGAGGCACATTGGGTTAATCTCAAAAGGGCCAACACTTGAAGAAGATTGAGGTACAAAATACTTGAGTGAAAACACTTTGGAAAGGCTCACTTGTTGGTTCATTTTGCAGCCAAGAATTTTTCTCAATTCTAGGTCAAAGATTAGAGACAGATTTTGGAAGGAACTAGTGACGGATTCTTGAAGAAACTAGAGACGAATTTTGGAGTTTAGAGACGGATTTGTGGAGACCACCTAGCTACTCTCAAATTGGTCACTAAGCTTGAAGCCAAGGCTGTCCCAAACTCAGTTACCAACCTCCTTTGCTTTCTTGATTGTAACTCCTTAACCCAACCCTTGGGTTAACTTTTAACTTTCTTTGTTAAGTCAAACTCACATTTAGGAGTGGTTCCTTAGGAAACTCACTTGTTTAAAGTCCCACCACTTCCTAAATTGTTATAAATAAAGATTCCTAAAACCGTTTAGTACTTGTGGAAGGGTCCCCAAAAGGCTTCAAGTGTCATTTGGGCTTCCACTAGTAGACGCCTAGTTTAATTGCTTTCATAAACCGTTTAGTACTTGTGGAAGTGTTCCAAGGGATTCTAAGTGTCACTTGGACTTCCACCCTAGGACAATTTGACCAGTGTATGCTTTACTTGTTTTCCTTTACTTGCTTTAATTCTAAGTTCATTTAGAAGGCTTCCTATTGCCTACTAGGGGTTTCGTGCACACACACACAACTACTTGTCTTGCTTGTGTGAAAAATTTGTTTTGTGAGACAAATATAAGGGGGTTTAGTTATTTCCACTTGAAAAGGCTTGGTTATTAAGTGGCCCCTTGTAGCTCACCTCCCTTGATAGTGCAACTTATATACTTAGACCTCCAAGTACTTAGTCTTACACCAAAAAAGAGAAAACCTTTTGTGCAAATATTTATCACTCAATTTGCAAAATTCCTTAAGATTTGTGAAAACCTTTCTCTTGCAAAAATGAGTGATCATTCTCATGAAAGTAGTGTGCACGGTCATCATGCTCCTAGAAGTCATAGGAGTACTAAAAATGAACTTAAAGAACTTAGGAGAAAAATTAGAAAAAAAGAAATAGAAAATGAAAAAAATAATGAAACAATAAGAGAGCTGTTGAGTAAGCTTGTGGTGGGGGTGAATCTAGCAAACCCCATGCCAATGAGGGTCATGGGCCTTCTAGGCCCAAAAGACATGATGGTGAAGGGCCTTCTAGGCCTCATAGGAACAAAAATGATGTAGAACCATCACGGCCCAAAAGCCAACATTCACACACTCACTCATCTACAAGTGAAGGGTTTTATAGTAGTCACCATGATGAAGGCTACTATCAAAGACCCCCTAGGCAACATAGGCCTAGGCATGAAACAACATCTCTTAGAGAACCTATGTTTGACCTTCCTCCCTTCCATGGAAAAGACAATGTTGATGATTATTTAGATTGGGAGATGAAGGTTAAACAACTCTTCACTTGCCACAATGTGAGTGAAGAGAGAAAAGTTCCTATGGCCACCCTTAGTTTTCAAGGGAGTGCCATGAATTGGTGGACTTCCCTAATGAGAGAAAATTTTTTTATGAGAGAGCCCTCCATTAAATATTGGAATGAACTTAGGAGTACCTTAAGGAGAAGGCACATTCCTCCCTATTATGAGAGAAAGTTAATGGACAAGCTTCAAAGACTCCAACAAGGAAATCAAAGTGTGGAGGAATATAGGCAACAAATGGAGTTGCTTATGCTAAGGGCTGGAATTAGGGAAGAAGAGAGAACCACCACTGCTAGGTTCCAAAGTGGTTTTAACCTAGAGATTAGGGACAAGGTTGAACTAGTTCAACTTTGTGTGAGGGTAGAACAATATCTTAGGAGAAATCCTAGCCTTAGGAAGGAATCTACCTCATACCTTAAGAAGGACTTCAAGAAGGAGGGTCATTCCTCCTATTCAAAGGATAGACCACTAGAAAAAGAAATCAAAAACAAAAACCTTCCGATGAGCCTAGAACTAGTTCAATTAAGTGCTTTAAGTGCTTAGGGAGGGGACACATAGCTTCCTAATGCCCCACAAAAAAGACCATGATCATTAGGGGCAATGAGATCCTAAGTGAGGAAAGAAATTCATCTTCTTCATCATCCTTAAGTGAAGAAGATGCTAGTCTTAGTTCTAGTGAGGAAGCACCATGTGAAGGTGACCTATTTATTTCTCAAAGGTTACTTACCAACCAACCCAATGATCAAGACCAATCACAAAGAGAGAACCTTTTCCATTCTAGATGCAAAATTTTTAAGAAAACTTGTTCTCTCATTGTTGATAGTGGATCTTGTAATAACTTTGTAAGCCAAAGGTTGGTTGATAAGCTTAACCTAACTACTATAGCCCATCCTAAATCTTATAAACTTCAATGGCTTAATGAGGATGGACCTATAGAAGTTAAGGATCAAGTAAATGTTCCTTTCTCCATTGGAAAATATAAAGATGAAATTTTATGTGATATAATTCCAATGGATGCAAGCCACATTTTACTTGGAAGGCCTTGGCAACATGATAGGAAGGCCATTCATGATGGTGTTACAAACAAAATTCGCCTAGTCCACCTTGCCAAGAAACATACCTTGACGCCCCTTTCACCTTCACAAGTGTTGGAGGATCAAGTATTTATGAAATCAAAAAGAAGAAAAGAGCAGAAAAAGAAGGTTCTAAAGTTGGAGGGTAGTGTCTCCTCCAAGGAAGTTGTTCCTAGAAGTCAATTGTTAATAGAACATTCTATTAAAAATGTCTTCTAGTTGAACAACCTCTTTACCTTCTCAATGCTAAAAAGACACTACTCTTGGAAAAGAGTAAGGAGGATACTGTCTCCTCCAAAAATCTTGTGATAAAGGAAAGTCACTTTTCTATTAAAAATGATTGCAAAAAGACTTTTCTTCTTCACAAAGATTTTAGCTCTTTTTCTACTGCTGCCACAAACTTAGAGCTTAAGATCCACAACCTAAATATTTTTGAAAAGAAAGGATCTAAAGTTCTTAGTCTTATGAAGAAGAAGTGGACTTCACCTAGTTCAACTTCTTATGCTACTACTTTGGTGGTGCCCAAAGTAGACAACTATTGTCTATTTAGGACTTCTCTTAGTTTAGTTATTCTAATAAAGCACCCAACCTTTGGTTTATATTGTTTATTAGATACATCTCATGGTGTCTTATTTTCTATTTTTGATCTTAAGGGAAGTTCAAACTTCTTTGAACTTAACTTGACTACTTCAATTTTACATCGATTTTAATAAAAACGATGTAAAAATTAAATGGAGTGGCATTTTTGTAATTAAAAGTATAATATAAAGTATATTTACATCACTTTTAAGTGAAACCGATGTAATATATTCAATATACGGTGGTATTTTTGTGAATAATCCTAAAGTCTAAAGAGATCTACATCGTTTCACTATGTGACCGATGTAATATTGGAAGAATTTGTTTGCTGATAACCATCGCGATACGCGAGCCCTTTCCCAGAAGAACCCTAACTCTCGACGATATTTTTCCAGGGGGTGCTACCTTGGAAATGGTATAGGGGTTGAGAGTGTGCCACAAATATCTTGGAACTACCCAGAATTTTTTGTTCGTTACCCAAGCTTGTCAAAAGAAGTTTGTGTGGGTTTAAGGAGAAGAAACACTCACAAAACGACGACATTCTGGAAACCCTAGGAGACTTCACAAGCAAAGAGAATTGGGTCAAGTTCTTCACCCCCCGCAACGACTCCTTCGAGTGGTACGCGAAATGGCCCAACCTCTGCGACCCTCTCCTCTCCCTCCTCCACACACTCTCCTCCTCTCAGTCCCACCCTCTCCCCCTTCCGCTCCTCGTCCCTGCCTACGAAAACTCCTACCTCTCCGAACACCTCTACGACGCCGGCAACACCGCCATCACCAACGTCGACTTCTCCAAGGTTGTCATCTCCGACATGCTCCACCGCAATGTCTGCGACCGTCCTCTCATGCGGTGGCGCGTCATGGACATCACTGCCATGAAGTTTGAGGATGAGAGCTTTAGTGCGGTTATTGACAAGGGTGGATTGGATGCGTTGATGGAGCTCGGGCTCGGCTCCAAATTGGGGAACTAGTACCTCTCCGAGGTAGCTTTCTGGTTTCTTAAATTTTGTAGGCTCTTGTTTCGATGAATCAGCTTCTCTATATAAACACTTTAAAGAGAATAGAATAAGGAGGTTTAAGGAAGTTTGTCAAATTGGGGAACCCTAAATCGGCGCTTATTGCTTAAGAGTGGCAGTGGTGGTAGGGCACAAGACTTTCCATTGCGTGAAGTTGTTGCTTTCTTCTGGGCGCTTGACCATCAATTTTTATGTGATGCAGACACTGGTCTTGGTTTTGGCGAAGGTGGTGGATCATCAGTGAGAGAGCTTTGTGCAAGGGAAATGGCAATTGTATATGAGCAACATTACATGACCATTAGCCTTTTTGAAGGTACAACTCACATCATTGTTCTCTTGGATAGGACATATGACAGAGCTTTGAGGCACAAACTTCTTTGACTTCTGAAGGTGTGTTTAATTTTCCCTAACTTTGTCTTCTGAGTTGGAAGAACTAGGAACAATTAATTTGCTTTGCTATATAGAGTACTAATATTTTGGAAGGTATTTGGAAAAAAAGAAATTACATTTTAAATGTAGATCTTTGTTGTTGCTAATTGCAATTTGTAATAGGATTGGTGCTCACTATTGATTTAATGATTATCCTCAACAAAATTTTTTTTAAAAGGCTCAAGGAAACATTGTAGTACTAATATGTTAACTCTATTGTTTGAAATTTTAAATCAACTATGGTTTACTGAATTTTAGGCATTAATGAAGGTTTTATCAAATGTAGAGGCTTGCGTTCTAGTTAGAGGTTGTGTATTAGTTGTTGATCTGCTAACTGTTGTCCATGAAACTTCAGAGAGAACTTCTATTCTGTTGCAATCAAACTTAATTGCTACTACTACTTTTATGGGAACCACTTAAGGAATGGACGTATATTGACAAAGATGGTATGAAACTTGGGCCTATGGAAAAGATGTTATTAGAAGGCTGTGGTCCAAGAAGGCTATTGATTGGACAACATGATTTTTGGCTTCTGGGATGCTAGATTGGAAGAAGTTACATGATATATGTTAGAATCATGCTGCAGTTGGAAGATAATATTGATAAATAGTTGTTTTTGTGATGTTTTCCATAGCTTCTTTTCTTCTCATATGCTAACCAACTTTTCTTTAATCTTTTGTCAATCTTCTTTTTTTGTTAGTCTAGAGATGTGCTTATTTATATTTGAATGACTTGATCTTTTTGGGGTACTTGTTAAGATGAGAAACCAATATTAAGGTGCATTTATGTTGAATCATTCATAACTATAAGTAAGTAACGCGCATATTGTCAAGTGCACACTGCCTTCGTCATATTACACAGGTAATTTTAGGAATCATTCATGCTTATATTCTCTTTTAGAATGAATTATTCTACCAAAGCTTTTTTTGTTTAGTTTTGCTTCCAGTAAGAATACATTTATGCATTTTATAATTTGTTAAATTTAATATTCAGTTGGGAAAAAACTGTTATTTTTAATATTCAGTTGCTTTGCTCATCCTAAAGAAAAAAAAATAACATCCATGTTGAGGTCTCATTCGATAGTGTAATATTAATTTATATGGATATTACCATATTTTCAATTCTTTTTTTGTGATTTTTTTTTGAAAAATATGAATTAAAGTGAAAACAAGTTGACATCATATGATTGCTTGCAATTGGCTAGTGGGGGAAGTACAATGAAGTGATTGAAGATAGTGCCCATGAATATTTATGAGAAATGCTAATGATACTTAACACATATATATAAGCGGCAGGTATTGTTGATTTTTGTTTTGCTTCTATTTGTCCTTCAACTTTTACTGATCTTGCTCAACACTATTATTTTAATTTAGGATTGATTTAAGTGAATTTTTGTTTTAGGATTTTATACGTTTAGCTTTTGAGCTAGCTATTCTGAATATCATACGATGACATCAACCTGCATTTCGTAATTCACTTTATGAGGGATAAAAAAAAGCAATGCATGCCCTTAGGTTTGGCTAGAGATGTTATAGGTTTAATTCCTGATGTATTAAAAGATAAAAGAAACATCTTGCATCGAAATATTAAGCAAGGTGAATTTGTATATGTTGTACACTGGGATATTTCTCTACCACCCTGTCATACCAATTATATTTTCAAAACATTTACATTTTTTTGTCTAATTTAGATTTACGCATATTTACATTCCAAATTTCAAGTATTTCATTTTAATTTGCATTCTTCTCTTTATTCTTCTTAAACTTTCTTTTAATTTGGATTGCTTTTAATTTCCTTACAAAAATTTACGGTTTTATCATTGTAATTGCCTGAAATTTGATTGCTTTTCTTTAGATTTTTACATTTACTTTTCAAAGTTCATTTACATTTACGAGTATATGATTTATTTTCATTTTATCATTTAATTTCAATTGCATTTTTAAGTTTCACTTTCGATTACAGAAAACAGTTTATCTTACCAATTTTTGTCAATTACTATTGTCAATTTGACATGTAATTCAATTATATCAAAATTAAATTGAATAAATGCTTTGTTAACAAGTATTTATATTTATTCAAAACAACGGAACAAAGTTGGAAGGCAGGCTAAGGTTATTTTTACAATCTATGCAACTTGCTGCTGACATGACCCAGAATATTGTTTGTATTTGGCTATTGTTACTATTTTTATGATTACATACTTCTTTTTTACTGTGTGGTTATAATAATTTTCTATGCACTATCATTTTTCTGGTAATGTTCACAGGGATGCCTATGATGATTGCCATCAAGTTTTCATAAAAGACCTCCTCTGAATGTATGAATAGGAGTCATGGTCAAAATATTGAATTAAGTTTTGGACTCATACTCGTATGACTCACACAAGTCTTCGAACAAATGTTAATGTGAACACTTGAACTCCTTGCACTCATTGGTAAGTCTCCCACTGGCATGCACGTTTTGCTTTTTGAAAAAATTAAAAAAAGTTTATTTTATTTTTGTCTTTGCTTATTCTTTTTTATCATTGACTTTTTTCTTTGCAATTTAATATACTTGGTACAATCATAAGCCAATTTGTTTATTTTCTTGTACTTGATTTTTTAACTGAATGATTAAGAAAAGAGGACAGAAATGCATGTAGCTTTAAACCAATTATAGTCCTGTACAAAGATGTTTCACTTAGAATATATTGAAGAAGACATTTTGCTCTTGAAACATTTCTGTAGAATTTCAAAATTGTAAATATTTAAGAAAAAATTAACTATGCAAACATGGTGTCTATATTTGATACTGGAGAGAGTCTAATTATCCAAACAGAGCTGTTTAAATGAGGTTTTATTCTAATATTCTTCAATTTATTGTTGGGCTCCTCTATGAGATAAATGTGTGCATAACTACTCACATGGATCCATCTTAGCTAGATAGGAAAAATTAGATCTGGTTAAATTCTGATTGATCCATGAGTTCAGTTGTTCACTTTAATCATTGCATTACTTCTAGGTAGTATTTTTCTAATCTCTGTCAACATATCAACTGTGCGAAATAAAATTGTGTGTTGTTTTATTGTATCAGGTAACAAGGTTAGTGAAACAAGGTACTGGGAAGAATACTCTAGCAATAGGTGATTGTGCAAATGATGTTGGCATGATTCAAGCAGCAGATATTGGTGTTGGAATCAGTGGGGTTGAAGGTATGCAGGTCAGTGGCTTACATGACTGGCTCTTTAAGCATAATGATGTCATATAAAACTATCACTGTGAATGATGGTTTTCTTTTTAACCTTTAATATTGCTAAGTGCAATGCCATATCTGTTATGTTTCAGATACAAGGCCAAATTATAGTTTTATTTAGTTTTAATATTTTAAAAAATAACATGGGTTAGAGAGAAAGAACCTTTAATGTTTGTATTTGCATGTTTTGGCTCCATTTTCAAGCTAGATTGTGGACCAGGCTTATTGTCAAGCCTTTCTATTAGCCATGTGTGATTAGTGCTTATTCAATGTAGTAGAGAAGTGAACTTCTCTCTGCATTGTCAGTAATTATTTGCAGGGTAATTTCTTCTATAAAATGAGGAAAATGTCACACATTTAGTAATTATTTGCAGGGTAATTTCTTCTATAAAATGAGGAAAATGTCACACATTTAGCTAATAATTATTTGCAGCTAATTTATTCTATGATAAAATGAAGAAAATGTGACACTTCATGTGAAACTTACTTAGCATTCTGCCGACATGGCTGCTGTTGGGAGAATAATGCAACATGAAATTTTATAAAATTTGTAGTATTTATATTAGTTATTTACATTTAGTTGGGGTCAATAAAAGTGATCTAATTTTAGTGAGCCTTTAGACTGCCAATAGGAAAAATTGATATGGGCCCAAATAAGTGGAAACCAGATTTGGCCCGTTAGGGGTTAATGGGAACCCTAATAGGTTTAAAATCATAAAGATGGTCATGGTCCCCAATATGCCAAATCAGAAATACACGTCTCTCTATCTCCCCATCAGAAGAGTAACATCAAGTCTCATCAAGGAATCCAGTGATTTGGCTGAGGAAGATCAGTGCACCAAAAGATTATTCCGCTGAAATCTTTTGATCAACGTTAATGGATACAAGTACGTATTATTAACATTAACTCTGTAATCTGAGACAACGTTTCTTAATATTGATTAATGAAAAATTTCTATTTGACTTAAGAAATTTATCCCAACAGAAATACAATATTTTAATTCATTAGGTTTTACGCAAAAGAGGGGTTTAATGATTCAATTTTTTTTTTGGAGAATTTAATAAGAAACTAATATTTTTTGAAGTGCCCTCTTGTAATTTTATGACGTTGGCTTTAACTTTTGGCCGGTGGATGTGGATATGTAATTAGTTTTAATGATTTGCTACTTCGAGGGATGAAATGTGCAAGTTAGTCCATGCTACATGGCATACCTTTGTTCTCCATATTCAACTATAACCAGGCAGATATATTCAGATGCTTCAATAAATTAACTACATCCAAATCTGTCTTTAGAACACTTCTATTTATAGTCAATTTTGTTTTAAGGAAGTCAAATTGTCTCTTCAATATTTCACGAGTCATCATTGTTTTGTCTTAAAAAAAAAAATTCTTGAGAATTGTTAGATTATTACGGTTATTAAAAAATGATATTAATAAGTAGTTTTTAACCTGAACTTTTAAGTAATATATATATTTTTTAATATGTAAAAATATTGAGATACAATCAATGTTTTACATCCTTCCAACATAAAAAGTCAAGGATATCAATTTATAAAACATGCACAATCTCCATTTAAAAGAAGTCTTTTGATCACGGTAACAACATAATTATAGTATATGAAGCCATCACTATGCACCCAATCTAGGCATATAAACAATGATCTTAATCTCTTGAAAACTGCACTGCCCTAACCCAGCCTGAAAGCCTTGTAGGCCATCAGTCCTATAATAACTCTTCAAATCCAAATTTTGATATGTTTTAGAAACTACTACAAGTCTACAACAAATTCAACTTATAATAGAAAAGGTGCTGTTTGCTTCAGTTCTTTACCAATTTCTTTTTAATTTATTAAGAGTTTTAAAGGCACAAGTCTCAAGTCTCAACCATCAAACCGAACTACGCAGCTTTAAGTTAATTCATGGTCTTATTAGTTACTACTTTCATTCAACTTCCTAAAGATGGGTTACTATGTTATGCCTAGAATTATTTCTTTGTAGAAGACAAATGTCAACAACTACATAACTACCAGTACTTTTGGAAGTTCCTTCTTTCCTATTCCTTCCTTTTTGTTTCACCTTTTCGAAATGAAAAATAATAACTACACAAGGGAAAAAAAGACAACTACATTAAAAAAATATGAATGTGTTGGAACAAAAAGCAAGCCATTATAATGAGTTTAACAAACAGAATATCAAAACATGCATAGGTATTTTTTTTAATAGAAACACCTTGGTTCTCAACATTTGGTTAGTGGCATCTACAGCAGATTGAGCAGGACCGTAACTCTTTGCCTCTTGAGCTCGTCTTTGTTTCATTTCCTACAGATGAGCATTTTAACAAAATTGAAAAAATTATTACGTTGAAAAACATTTCACAGCTTATGCAGCATTAATGTACGATGACAGGAAAAATTTAAACTAAGAACTATCTATTAAAATGCACTCATTGACTTGCACAGGAAAAGCATTATTTTGAAACAAACATGCTCGAATGCATACACACCAATCACACTATGACGGTTGATTCAATTCATTTGTGACTGTTGGAAACGAGCATTTAATGTTTATTGCCCTTCAAGAAGCTTAGTTAATCTTTAGCTAAGCTGAATGTATCTTACGAAGTTCTGATATTATAATTGTTCTCTTGAAATTAGTTGTAGTCATTTTTTGTCTATGTAACCTTTCTTATTATAAATAGATCAATCTGTTGAGTAGAAAATTCACTCAGGCACATTCAGAAAATTTCCCGTCTCATTCTATCATAGTGAAACACTGACACGATCAGAGAAGAACTAACAATGCATATACAAACATGAATATTATTGGAGTATATAACTTTACTCCTTAATATTGTATTAGATATAATATTGTATACGGTTATTCTTTGTTATTTTCTGTTTTAGTTTTGGTTACCTGGTCAACAGGTCATTGTTTCTATAGCTTCTTTAGAAGTTATTGAAACATATATAAATAGGAATATTGTATTACAGATTCAATTGACTGAAATAATACAATTCCTTTTCTCTGTTAATCTGTCTCTGTCTCTGTCTCTCTCACTCTTTCTTTCTTTAATCTCAATAAATAAATAAATAAATAAATAAATATATATATATATATATATATATATATGTTGAAACAGAAAATCAGGTGCACTGCACACTTAATTTTTTGTTTATATCTTGATTACAATCAAGGAGTGAAGTAATCACGGGGGTAATTGCCATTTAATTACAGCCTAATAATCAGTAGCAAATTTGTAGCCTAATAGTAGCTAAATAATATAAGTATGGTAAGACTGATATATTCTAACAAAAAAAAAGATAATATTTCATATTCTAACACGCTCCCACAAACTAAAGCAATCAAGCTTCTGGCTTGTTACAGATAAATCCATCCAAAACAATGCCAGAACTCCAAAGCCAATTTAGGATTTAAGACCATACAGGATAGAAGCCCACTCAGAAGTAGGAGCATATATAGACCAAATACAAGCCAAAACCAGCAAAACATGGTGAACTCATGTCAATACAAGTTTCACCGGTCTTGGGATAAACCATGACGGAAACACAAAAGGTGGATTCATTATACTGCACACGAGGTCAGAGACCATCTCTTTTGAGGTTGTTTAGAGAAAAAGTTAGACATACTGTAAATAAGGGAATCGGTTATTA